GACAACCCCACGTGAGTGTAACGTGCGTAACCACTTAAAACGTCCTCTATCGTTTAATTATGATATTTGACTGGAGTTTAATATACATTCCTAAATCCCCTAGAATGTTCAATGTTAGTCTTCAAGTTAGATTTTCGCTCTATCAAACGCTGTACATTTATTTTTACATGCCAAAACGATCCATCCCCACCACCGTATCACAGACTAATGCACAATACACAAATGCTCAGAGCTCAATCTGGACCGGATTTTCGTGAGATGTTATTTTTTCTACAAACAATAATAATAATAGAAGACGATATAATTCTCCAATTTATCAAATACCATTAATCACATTATTGCTAAGAAGCAATGCTGGACTTCCAGTTGACAAGTCCTGCAGCTCCCCAGCAATTTTACCGATTCTCCTGTCTAGGTTCCCCCGGAATGCAGAGGGTTACTGACTTCTACAGAGATGGAACTGGCATCCTTCTTAGCTCTTTCTGAGCATTCCTTTCGGTTTTGAGCCCCCTAGCTGGTTTAATAAAAAAGTGAAAGGTGGTGAAAGCGAATTATGGGAAAAATAAGTACAAATACACCATTTTGAATTTTTTATTAGCCAAAACTACTTCAGCAGTTTCATTGGTTAGTTTTATAGTCCCATTAACAATACATGATATACTTCAGACTCCCACTGCAGCAGGAATAGTTCTTCAACCCTATTTTTCCTCTTTATGTATTTCATGGAAATTCCCCAATCCTGGTACTATGTATAACCGACCCATGAGTCACACGTCCCGAAAAGCAGGAGAAAGCAATCGATTTTACCTAAATTCCCCATTACTAATAATAGTTATATTTTAAATTAGGTACAGCCATATCACATTTCAAAGCAGCCATGATTTTTAACCCTTTCAGCTGGGACCACAAATTAGATCCTTCAAAATGAGTCTCGCAAATGAGCAGTATTCATTGGCTTTAACCCGTCAATTTCCCGGCTCTCTTATGTTGCAGATCCCACTCCGAAGCCAGCATGAATCATCTTTACATGCTCTCATTGAATGTGGTGTATTATTCCAAAATGCATATCCGTTTTAACTGGTATTTTTCACAGTAACAAAGGCAGCACAATCTACACATCACCGAAAACAAAGTAGTATTTTCCCTAACTTTTAACTGTAGCTCCACAGATTGTTTCTTGTCAATATTACATTATATTATGATTACATATAATTAAACAATCCAATAAGTACCACTCTCGTTCGGTGCACAGCAGTCAGAGTCACGCATTCAATTGCCTCCTAACGAACTCTTATTATTTGCAAACGTAATATAACATGCAACCACGTGATAAAATTCTATACTGCTTACCTATCATGCTCTGTGGTAAACTGAACAATCGTATATCTGGAATATATCTAGATATATATTATTATGCAAATAGATTCCCGTACCGGCTTGAATATTAGACCTACACTCCCATACTCTCTGTACAATATGAGCTTATTGACCCACGATTAGTCAATATATTAGCAAGATATAAATGCCCGCCGAAGTGAATTACAGATTGATTAAATTTCTAAAATTCTAATGATAACCTATAGAACATTCTTAGCTATAAACTCTGTGAATATTGGAGTTAAATTGAGACGAATTAGTCAAAATTATGCAAAATATATCTACCGTAATCTCGCTACGGGCCGGGGTTTTACCGCCTCAATATATAACCCCCTGGTGCCATTTCCATAGTTGACCGCTTCATTCGCCAGGGCAGCCAACTTCGATAACGCTTAACAAGCCAGCGCGTATACGAAGGTCCAGCCTGTGTATCCGTTAGTTCGCTGCACCCATACCGCCCCGGCCTGCACCAAAACCGCACCAAAAAATTGCATGTAAATTATCTAATGGATCAAGCAGCTACAAACCAATTCCATCTCCATCACGTCTACATCAACAAAATTTCAGGTGGCAGCCCTCCAGACCCCCCCCTAGCAAGTACGCGCTACGGGCACCTTGTTTATTATCACTGGAGATTTTATCCCTGCTGCCATGCTACTTTCTGAAGACCTTGCCAGGTGGTACGTCATGAACGTAGTTCAGACCAATCATAATATTATATATAACGTTTGAACACGACTCGTTCGTGTTGCCAACCTGCAAAGCATTTCACACCGTCTTCCATATATGGCAATCGGCCTGCGGAGTCGGGATATGCTATGAAGAAGGAACCGCTGTTGTTAATTTTATTGATGCCCGGCCGTCGCGCGCAGCGATGAACCCGTACAGTGGTCCGAGAAGTTGGATATTGAGGAGGCAAGGCGGGGGTGGGGGTCCCTATCCTTTGAATTCTACAGATGATAATCTTATAAAACACGGTATAGTCGCCAAATTCAATAAACTTCTCCTCCATCTGACTTCTCCAACCCAAGGGCGTGTACAGGGTGCGTCCAGGCGTCCGGACCCACCCCCTGCTCGGCAAAAACGCATTAAGGGTTTATTTCTAAATTTTTCTGGGAGGCCCCCAAAACCCCCTTCGCTGCCCTCCGCAAGTTCGATTACTTAGACCCCCCCCTTCTTACAAATCTTTACTACGCCCCTCTCCTCGGCCCTTTCCAGCCAGCTCTCCCCTCGGCCTCCCACAGCTCCTCGGGCTTCCCAGCAGCCTCCCTCCGCCTCCCAGGCAGCCCCGGGCCTTCCCAGGCACCCTCCCTCGGGCATTCCAGCAGCCTCCCTTGGGCCTTCCAGCAGCCTCCCTTCGGCCTTCCAGCGCAGCCTCCCTCGGGGCCTCTCCCAGCAGCCTTCCCTCGCCTTCCCCAGCAGCCTCCTCGGCGCTTTCCCAGGCAAGCCTCCCTCGAGCGCCTTTCTCCAGCAGCCCCGTCGCGACCTTCCCAGCGCCCTCCCTCGGCCTTTCCCAGGCAGCCTCCCATCGGCGGCCCTTCCAGCCAGCCTCCCTCGCGGCCTTCCCAGGCAGCCTCCCTCGGCCTTCCCAGGGCACCCTCCCTCGGCCTTCCCAGCAGCCTCCCTCGGCCTTTCCAGGCAGCTCCTCTCTTGGCCTTCCCAGGCAGCCTCCCTCGGGCGCCTTCCCAGGCAGCCTCCCTCGCGCCCCATGCAGCCTCCCCTCAGCTTCCAGGCCAGCCTCCCTCCGCGCCTTCCCAGGCCAGCCTCCCTCGGGCCTGCCCAGTCCCAGGCGCCTCCTTCGCGGGGGGCTCCCCAGCAGCCTTCCTTCCGGCCTTTCCCAGGCAGCCCTCCCTCGGGCCTTCCTAGGCAAGCCTCTCGGCCTTCTCAGCCAGCCCTCTCTTCGGCCTTCTCCAGGCACGCCTCCCTCGGGCCTCATCCCAGGCAGCCTCCCTCGGCCTTCCCAGCAGCCTCCCTCGGCCTTCCCACGCAGCCTCCTCGCGCCTTCCCAGGCAGCCTCCCTCGGCCTTCCATTCAGCCTCCCCGCGGCCTTCCAGGCAGCTCCCCTCGGCCCTTCCCAGGCAGCCTCCCCGGCCGTCCCAGGCCAGCCTCCCTCGGCCTTCCAGGCAGCCCTCCTTCGGGCCTTCCACAGGCCAGCCTACCTCATACATTAATACTCACAATTGCCATTGCCAACAGCTTCATTAATCCTTATCATCATTATTATCATTTCCGTATTTTATCATGCGATTGAAATCTGCGTAGATCTGTTTTAATAGCTTCAATCAATTGTCGTACGAACCAGTCGACGCCACGCTTTGCCATGGTGCAAATTCTTGATAACGGAGAACACGCCCGTTGTGTTAAAGACATCTCTTCATTTTCAGCGGCGGCAATAAATACTGTAGTCACACACACACTGCCCACGTTGTTGCCATTGCGTGCAAATTTCAGCAAAGAAAGTACACCAAGAGCCCACGCGTTATGTGTAAAGACCACCGCTGCTATTTTAGCCGGGCGCATAATTACTGTAGTCACCTCGTTTTGCCCGCTTAATATTGCTCTATCTTGCAACCGAGATAATGCGTCAATAGATGCACGCGGCTGCTAGGGTGTGAGTTCCAGGCGAGACGTGAACATTACTAGAGATTCCATTTTATGGCAGTGCATTAAGAGTGCGTCAGCTTCCGGCCGAATCCACGCGTGTGATGATGCCCTGAGCCACTAGCAACGCACAGCCAATACAGACCAGCACTCGACATTGCATCCACAGATGCTGCCGCCTAGCAGTCCAGATCAGTAGTGAAGTCACTGCTCACTGTTTAAAGTCCTGCTTATTTATGAAGTCAGGCTCACTGTTTAAAGTCCTGCTTATTTATGAAGTCAGGCTCACTGTTTAAAGTCCTGCTTATTTATGAAGTCAGGCTTACTGTTTAAAGTCCTGCTTATTTATGAAGTCAGGCTCACTGGTGAAGCCGGACCCAGTGTTGAGTCCCGGATTCAGTGATTCTGTGTTTAAACCCGGATTTAATGTTCAAGTCAGACATCGATAACGTTGTCACTTCCGACGTGCCAATCCCGACGTGCTGTCGCTGAACGGCACGAGCACACACAAGATGCCGGAGTTTGGTGACAATGTGACGGCATGGCGACAACTGTCACCCCAGTTTGTCACATTCTGGGACCGCTTAGAACACGCGTCCGTCGCCGTCCCCGTTTTATCCATCTCGATATCGACGGTCGCCATCGCCTTCAACCTGCCCGTCGTCCTCGCCATCTGCAGCACCCGTCGCAGCACCTCCATCCTCGTGCTCGTCGGCAGCCTGGCGACGGCAGACCTGCTCGCCAGCTCCCTCTGGCTGATAACCGTCTGCTTTGTGCAGGTGAGAAGAAGCTTGGGCGTCCTTGACGACGCCAACATTGTCTTGATGCATCTGTCGAAGGTGACAAGCTTCTGGCTGTTGTCCGTATCCGCTACGAGTCTGTTCGTGATAGCTATCGACCGCTACATGGCCGTGCTGAAACCGATCCGACACCGGCGGTACATGACGCCGACCAAAATGCGGGTCATCGTCGCCACGCAGTGGACGATGAGTCTGTGCGTCAGCGGCGTGTTCCTCCTGCTGTGCTTCGCGCGGCCGCCTCGCTACAACGTCATCGTCTACTGCTGGATGTTTACTGATCTCGCTAGTGTGTCGGTGGTCGCAGCGACGTGCGCCATCTACGCTAAGCTCTACTGCTGCTACCGCGCGCACCGACGCAACTTGGCGATGCTGGCGCAGCGCAGCCGCCGCCAGAACGAGGCGCGGCTAGCGTGGCGCCTCCTTGTGTGCGCTGTTGTCTACGCTGTGTGCTTCGCGCCGTTTCTCTGCATGCATCTGATATCGTTCTGTCAGTGGCGCTACGGCAGCGACACATACTTCTACGTAGAGGACGCCGTGTGGACGTCTAGCGTGGGCCTTACCGGGGTCTACCTGATGCTGGTGGCCCGCAGCACCGCCGTGTTCAATGCTCTTCTGTATGCCTGGTCGCTGCCGCAGCTCAGGCGCGCCCTTCACCAGATCTGCTGCTGCTGTTCTTGCCTAAAGCAGCGTAAACATGTGAACCGACAGCAACGCACAGAATCAGGACTGTCATTGGTGTGACAACTAGGGGCAGACGCGCGTGACTTAATTTGCTCACGATCATTTGACAACAGTTCCTTGTGTGTTATGTGCATCATATATTTACCACAGAATAGAATTCGGTAGACTTATAGCGTGCGTACGCCCATTGCTACGATTGCAGGTCTGATATGTACATAATTTGAGTTTTGGGAGATTTTTCCCAGATGGCTGTATTTCCTATACCCAAACTATAAACAGAGCTTGCACAAACATATGATTATTAGGATTTCAATGTTATGTCATAACTATAAGGTCGTATATACCTTCTTTCCTCAATGTGTTTGGCACCTTTGTATAAATATTAAATTATTATAATAAATAATTGGATAAATATGAGATAAATCTCTTCCTAGACGATCTGCAGCCGGATATCCGTGCGAAGCGCAAACAACGCCGCGGAGCGGCAAATTTTATCGGATTCGCTGCCCTGTTTAGAACACTGTTTCGACAGTGCCCTTTGGGTATAGGATAAAGCGGTATAATTGGTCAATTGAGCAGTTGTGGCCATTCCACAAGCCTTTTCACTATGCACGTAGGTAGAGATTTAATACAAATGCTCGTAATTGCTCGTTTGCTGGTCGGCGCGTTTCGTTTTCCTCTAGAAATCAGTGAGCCTGACTTCATAAATAAGCAGGACTTTAAACAGTGAGCCTGACTTCACTACCAAGCAGGACTTTAAACAGTGAGCCTGACTTCACTACTGATCAGGACTGCTAGGCGCAGCATCTGTGGACGTAATGCCGACAGCGCTTGTCTGTAATGGCTGTGCGTTGCTAGTGCTCGGGGCATCACCACCACGCGTGGATTCTCCCGCGAAGCTGACGCGCTCTAATGCATGCCACAAATGAATCCTAGTCTCCCTGGAACTCACACCCTAGCAACCCCGTGCCTCTATACCATTATCTACGCGTTGGCACAAGTAACCAATAATGAAGTCGGGCAAAACCAGGTGGACACACAACGCGCGTGCTCGTGTACTTTGCTTCACTGAAATTTGCACCATGGCAATAACGTGCAGTGTGTATGTGACTACAGAAAATATTGCGCCGGCTAAAATAGCAGGGTGACTTTACACAACGCGCGTGTTCTCCGCTTTTCAGAAATGCCCACTGTAACGTTGAAATGAATGTTCGTTGCATAAATGATATAGAAGGAATCCAAAACTTGTGTGGTAAGTTGGTAACCGGAATAAACTTTAATAACTTCTCGCACACAGTGTGCCCATCTTACACAAAGACAACGCAACGCGCACATGCGCGTGAGCACGTGTGCTTCCTCCCGCGATCACCACCAGACTCCCGACCCCCTACATCTCTCTTCCGTCTCCAAAACCCCGCCATAATCCCACATGTCTACACCCGCTCTGCTCACCACCCATTTCACAATGACTCGAGAATCTGCCTAACCTAAACACGTTTGTCTACTCACACACGCACCGTACTATTTGGAACCTACATGCTAAACACTACACCTAACCCAACCCAGGCTAATTTCAGCCAAATCTGTAAGCCACATGTTACACCACCATGGCAACAGCGTGGCGTCGACTGTTCGTACGAGCAATTATTGAACTATTAAAACAGATCTACGCAGATTTCAATCGCATGAATAAATACTAATAAATAATAATGATAATAATGATGATAGATTAATGAAGCTGTTGCAATGCAATTGTGAGTATTGTGTATGAGATGTATGAGGGAGGCTGCCTGGGAAGGCCCGAGGGAGGCTGCCTGGGAAGGCCCGAGGGAGGCTGCCTGGGAAGGCCCGAGGGAGGCTGCCTGGGAAGGCCCGAGGGAGGCTGCCTGGGAAGGTCCGAGGGAGGCTGCCTGGGAAGGCCTGAGTAGGGAGGCTGACCTGGGAAGCCGAGGAAGACCAGCGTATCTCCGTCGAAACTCTGCTAATGCAAAAACAAAAGAGGGCATGCAGTCAGGAATCTGCAAGCATTAATCCCGCTGATCCTGTATAATTCGATATGTGTTTACGCAATGAGCTGATTCTTGATACAAGGCAGTTTCGTTGTCACGCGAACTACTTTCCTAGTCGATCATTAACGAAGAGCCTATAATTCCTTGCGGGTGCAATTACACTTCGCCTGCTTTAATTTGCGAATTAATAAATCAGATCTGTTTTCCTATTTATATGTTAAAAAGCTTTTGCTCAGCTAATATGTATGCCTCTAAAAGTTTGATTGAGTTGATAATTTTCTATCCTGCCCTCGGCAGCGAGCTCCACTTTCTCTAAAGGCGGGTTTATTGTCACGCGAAGCTGTTAATGTCTGGTGGCGCTGCCCAGCGGCTTTTCACAAACTCAACCCACGCAGTCACTTATTAATTATAATTAACGGGTTCATCCTATCCAGCAAGCTTAGGAAGCCTCTGACACGAATATAGCCAAAACGGCAATACTGAACCCAAGGACACAACCATGCGCAAAAATCCGGACTTGTTTAAATACTGGTTAAAGCCAACGGAGCTAGGCAACATATATATAGCTGTATAATTATAGCTTCTTAAGTAAGGAATTAAGGCCAGGCTCCCTAACTTAGTTGAACTTCAGCTACAGCCGTGCTTTGGAATCTGTTATTGCGTCTCACAAGTTTTTTCGACACGTTTGCTGCCAATTCTGTCCTGTTACATTTCAGGCATTTATCTACATAGGCCTATGCTTATTATTCCCGCGCTCACGCCAATTACTATAAATTTGTTTGTATGTCTTCTAAAAGTGTCATTCAATTTTTTTTCACATGAATATATTCCTACGTTTATTTTATATTTCATCCTATGTGTATGTATTAATTATTTATACTGTATGTACTAAACTGTACGTACTAACTGTAAAACTGTATGTAGTAAAACTGGTATGTGTTAATTATTTATCTAAATTGTAGCAATTAAAAGAATCCTAATTGTACTACCAATATTCCCGCATGTTTTTCTGGATTATTTCATCAATTTTATTTTTACACCCAGTTACAATCATGGTACTTAGACCAAATCGTTTATCCTAACTGTAATAGAATTTTATTTGCTAATCTATTTCGGTCTCTTACTATGATTTTTATTCGACCAGAAGCTTGTGAAACATTATTTTTCGATTTATCTTCTCTCCATTCTCATTTTGTACAGCAGTCTAATCCATTTGTCGGGAGATGTTTTTCATAATTAATGAATCCGTTTCGTGTACATTACTCTAAGGCTTCACTTTCAGGTTTATATCCCCTACATTTTTACAATTTGCACAATGGACATTCTAACTGGCTAAAACACGCGTGCAATCGCGTGACCTATTACACAAATTGAGTTGACAGTAAAAGCTACCTCTTAATTGCTACCAACTCCGCCCGCGACCGATTCCCCACCTTGTTGTGTGTGTGCGGTGTGCTGTGCGTGCCTGTTGCTGTGTTTGTGCGTGCGTCGTGTTTGTGTGTTTGTGCGTGTGTGTGTGCGTGCGTGCGTGTGTGATGCGTAGCGGACGGGCGGGCGTCCGTGCTTGCCACACGCTGTGTGTGTAAAGTGGTTTCGGTACGAACACCTTATAAACTAGACAGAAGCACTCCAAAGAGAGTGGCATACCTCTCAGACTGGCTCGCTGCTGGCTGCTGTCTGACTGGATCGCCCTAAGGCGAGCTGCTGCTGACTGGGACGTCCAAGGCGAGCTGCTGCTGACTGACGCCCTAAGGCCGAGCTGGTGCTGAAGTCGATCGAGTCGGTTGAGGTATCTATAAACAGCTGGCTCGCTGGCTGGCTAACACCACACACACGAAACACACACGACCGAAACACACCCCACAACACGAGAAGCGATTGACATTACCTCTGCAAAACTCCGTTGCGCGAAGCTGAATGAACAGAAGCACGTAAATACCCAAGGGACATAAATTCACTTTTACAACTTTTATTTTGCCGCCTACAGTCCATACTTACGATTTAAGGAGCATAAACCTTCTTTCAACCAAATTTCACTTGACATTGTAGCCTCGTACGTCCAGGGCATGACTATTAGATCGTCTACTAGAAACCCGGCAGTCAAATTTCTTCTAACAGTAAACAAATACCATGTTGTAACCCTCCCTTGCAGGGTCAAAAGCGTTGATCCGGACACTTACTCTCGGCCATGTCAGCTGAAAGTACATTTCATGGTCCTTTCAATAAAGCCATAAAAAGTGGTACGTCACCGCTGAAACAAAAAAGTTTTTCAAATCGCTCCGTCAGACTATCCTCCTTAGAAAATGCGGTGCTGCCCATTGACCTTTGACCTGTGACTCCAATTTTCGGCACAGTGATGGCTTTTCCTACTTATTGATGCCTATACACCGACTATCACGACCTAGGTCGAGCCTTTAGATTTTGCCGCAATTCTGCATTGCCTCCCTATACCTTAAGTTAAGGAGGAATGTTCCCCCTTCTTTTACACCTCTTGACCTTTGACCTTTGACCCCCAGCTTCGACGTTCCCAACTCGTTTTTCGGATTACCCCCCCCCAGCGTCCCGACTTCTCGAATCCGTACGTCGAGCCGTTTAGATTTGTGCCCAACTGTTGACGGACGCACGCACGCACGCACGGACGCACGGACGCACGCTCATGCGATTCTACAAGCTGCTACGAATGGGATTCGATCGCCCGACCTTTCAGCCTTGACTTGCGTGCTGTATTCGCTCGGCTATTGAGATCTTTTGGAATTATGGATTTTGGATGTGCTATGAGAGCGACGAAACAAGCTCAATCAATAGCAGCGCTCACTAGAGCCCTACGTTCTTGATTAACCTAGAAAAACAATCACGCAGACTGCACGCAACGCCAAAATAGTGTTATGGAATTGAATGGTGGCGCCGCCTAGCGAATGAAGCGGTACACTAAAAATCTGGCTGTGGTGACACACCGTGGATGTGTAACGTTGTAACATTAAAACGTCTCTATCGTTAATTATGATATTTGGACTGGAGTTTAATTATACATTCCTAAATCTAGAAGGTCAAATGTTAGTCTTCAAGTAGATTTTGCTCTATCAAACGGCTGTACATTTATTTTTACATGCAAAACGATCATCCACACCGTATCACAGACTAATGCACAATACACAATGTATAACATAATTCATTCCTCAGAGCTCAATCTGTGACCGGATTTTGTGAGATGTTTTTTTTTCTACAAACAATAATAATAATAAAGACGATATAATTTCCATATTTTTTACTCAAATACCATTAATCACATTTATTGCTAAGAAGCAAGTGCTGGAGTTCAGTGACAAGTGCTGGAGCTCCAGCAATTTACGATTCTGCTTGTTTCTAGGTTCGGAATGCAGGAGGGTTACTGACTTCTATCAGAGATGGAACTGCATCCTTTCTTAGCCTCTTTCTTAGCATCCTTTCTTGTTTTGACTTGCCCTAGCTTGTGTTTTTAATAAAGGTGGAAGGGATCGGGTGAAGGAATTATGGAAAATAAGGTAAAATACACAGTTTGAATTTTTTATTAGCAAAATTATTCAGCATGTGTTGGTTTAGTTTTGATATTGCCATAAGCAATAATGATATACTTCAGACTCAGTGCCCAGCAGTGAATATTTCTCAACCGTATTTTTCTGTTTATGTATATTTCATGAAATCAAGCCTGGTACATGTATAACGACCCATGAGTCACACGTCGAGAAGCAGAGAAAGCAATGTATTTTACTAATTTCCCATACTAATAATAGTTATATTTTTAAATAGGTACAGCATATCACATTTCAAAGCAGCCAGTGATTTTAACCCTTGTCAGCTGGACACATAAATTGAGATGCCTCAAAATGAGTCTCGCAAATGAGCAGATATTTGCATTGGCTTTAACCCGTCAATGTCGGCTCTTCTTATGTTGCAGATCCACTTCCGAAGTCTATGTACATGATCATCTACATGTGTCATGTGATGTGGTGTATTATTTACAAATTGCATATCGTTTTAACTGGTATTTTTCACAGAACAAAGGGCAGCAGAATTACACCGATCACCGAACCAAGTAGTATTTTCCCTAACTTTTAACTGTTAGCTTCACAAGATTGTTTCTTGTATTAGTTTACATTGATATTATGATTACATATAATTAAACAATCAATAAGTACACTCTCTGTTCGTGTGCACAGCAGTCAGTGAGTCACTGCATGTCATTGCCGTCCTAACGAATTTATTATTTGCAAACGTATATAACATGCAACACGTGATAAATCTAGTACCGGTACCTATCATGCTCTGTGGGAAACTTGAAAAACGCTATATCTGGGAATATATCTAGAATATATTATGCAAATGATTCCCGTACCGGCTTGAATATAGACGTACACCCCCATACTCTCTGTAAATATTGAGTTTATTGACGCACGATTAGTCAATATATTAGCAAATATATGCGCGCGGAAGTGAATTACAGATGATTAAATTTCTAATCGTGTATGTGAACACATTTGGGACTAACAGGGTTTACTAGAATCCCACCACTCCACCACAGAGTCACCGCAGTAGACGTTAGATGAGCGCTGTCGCTATGCGGCACTTTTTGTGTACACACATTCCTACTTTTTGTGTGATTTTTTTCCACCTTCACACGAAAGCCATTTCATTTTAAATTTCATAAAATTCATGTATGTGTGTGTGTGTGCGTGCGATGGTGCGTGCGTGCGTGAATGTATAGTGTATACATACTCAAATGTATGTAAAAATGTGTATGCTGCGCAAATGTTTATATTTTGATTGTTTTTGACTTGCAGCTGAAGTTACTGGGGATCGAACAAGCCGTACATATGTGAACAACACTGAGCAAAGTAATGAGTGGGATGGAAAAGATTGAAGCAGTCAGTAACACCTCGATATCTCATAGGATCTCCAGTGTCAATTGTGGCCTATATGTTGATACTAGTACTACAACCACCATGAATACTATGAATGGAAATGAAAGTCGTGTGAATCCTATCAGTAATGACGTAGGAGGGAGTGAAAGTAAGAATGGTGATGTCGCAGTACTGCATTTGAGCCAGAGTGAGTCACGGACAGAACAAGAAAAGCAGTTTGCATCTCCAGTTATATGGGTCACGCAGACTCCGATGTCAGCCGTGCAGAAAAAGTATTCTATTGAGGATGTTTTTAATAATGCTCTAAGTAGCACTGAGAAAGTGAAGGTGTGGAATAAATATAATATTGGCAGGGAAGCAGACGAAAATGAGGTTGAAACTTTACCGTCCATGGCCGATCTCCTTAATATTTCACCTGCTGGACAACAGAAAATTGTTAGAAAAGACTGGCAGGGGATCGAGAAGACTTATGCATCAGTGGCGACACAGACACCAAACAGTTCAGAAAATCTTGAGAAAGCTGCCAGCGTATTTGAACTTGCTGTTCCAAGTGTTCTCAGCCGTATGTTTGCATAATTCTTTATTTTTATTTTTTATTTTTTATTTTTTGAAAAATTAATTTGTAGAAATATTCATCTATACATGACTTGGTATATATATATTTACGAGAGAGAGAGAGAGAGAGAGAAAGAGAGAGACAACGAGGGAGAGTGAGTGTGACGGAAAGAGAGAGAGAGAGCGAGAGAGAGAGAGAGAGAGAGAAAGAGAGAGACAACGAGGGAGAGTGAGTGTGACGGAAAGAGAGGGAGTGAGAGAGAGAGAGAGAGAGAGAGACAGCAAGCGCATGAGCAAACGTTAGAGCAACGCCATATTTGTACTGATTGCAGCTTCGTTGTTCTTGATCTTGCACATTTATTGGCTAGTAGCATCAACTCCGGCGGAAACTCGAGGTGTTAGGCCTCACCATAGATATATATACAACACCATAGAGATCTATACAACACCATAGAGATCTATGGCCTCACCTATAATTTTATTTCCTTTCAACGTTGTTTGTGTGATTATGATATAGAAAGGCGACGATCGTCGGCGCGCTCCATGCCTGGTGACTGGATTGGTGCCCTCCAATCCTTTGTTGGGGTACATGGTATTGGTCTTGCAGAGGATCACAATGAGACCCATCTTCTAACTACAGATAACCCACCTGTTATATTAAAGGTATGAAGACACAATGGGAATAGTAAATGCATTAGCAACATCACTGTACAGATTATTTTCCTGTTTTCTAAAATATGGTGGAGAACATGCCTCAACTTCAAATTAGGACTAAATTTCATTTATATCTTCGTCAATAATTAAATAGTGTTTCATATTGAGAACGAAAAAGGTTTTCAGCTTATTCCTCTTTGTCTCATTTATTAGTACAAGCGAGAGTCTACCCACCCTGATCATGTTTCTCTCAAGCTGGTTGATGATAACATTACACTGGGCAATAGCATCTGTGGGTTCTGCAGTGCGCTTGTGAAGCCATTCCCATCACCACAAATGTTCTCTGAGCAAGCAACGGAGACACTGTACTGCTGTGATGAATATTGTACATTCGTGGAAATGTACATCTCGAGCTGTCTGCAAGAGTTGGCAGAGGAAGAAGCAGCAGCTGAAAGGGAGGCAGAAAAATGCAAGTTAGGTGATGATGAGGTAGGCCGTTGGCTGTATAATTAGGCCAAGATTGTGATTATCCAGATTATGATTATCCAGATTGTAATTTTGTGAGCACAGCACAGTTGTAACACCGCACGCACGCACGCACCAACGCACGTATGTATTGCACGCATACACGTACGTGCACACGTTATGTATGCACGCATACACGTACGTGCACACGTATGTATTGCACGCATACACGTACGTGCACACGTATGTATTGCACGCATACACGTACGTGCACACGTATGTATGACGTAATATACGTGCACACGTATGTAAGTACACATACACGTGCACACGTATGGTATGCACGCATACACGTGCACACGTAATGTATGCACGCATACACGTGCACAACATATGTAATACAGCATACAGTGCACACGTATGTAAGTACACATACACTGTCACACGTATGTAAGCACACATACACGTGCACACGTATGTAAGCACACACGGACGTATCTATGCACACACGTGCACACGCACGCACGCACGCGCACACGCATACATGGGACAGTCACATGGCACACATAATATACCTTTGAAGACTCGGTGCCTGCGGGCTGTTAAAGTGTGCATTAAAATATGTGCGTGCAGATAGAAATCATTGATATTGGTCCCCACACATCTAATGAAAGGAGAAAGAAGAAAATTACTAAAGATATGAGAGACAGGGCTATGCATAGAGAAATAGACAAGAAAATTCTAGCGGGAGCTGCCATGACACAACAGGTATTTTTCTCCAGATCTATGACAATTTCTGTTTGTATCCATACTATTGTCAGAAAAGCGGTGAACATATGGCAGCATGTCATAGAAAAATGCGAAATTTTGCTAATTTACTGGTATGCTGATAAATCATTATTACTGATTAATTGTCATTATTACATTACCACTATTTTACTCTGTATTCTGAAGATGAACCTGTATGCAATGGCTCGTAACCAACTCAAGATCATCAGCTACACCTTATCATCGAAAAAGTGCATAGATAGTGGTTGGACTATTACACCATCCATCCCTAAGCCTCAAGAGAAACCGAATCTCTTTCATCCTCTCTCGCAAAAGGTACATTCATTGTTTCCACGATACATTTTTGTTCATTAACGTCTAATGTAAAATGTAATAACGAATGTGCTATACACAGTATTCTCCGTTGTCCTCTTGAATCAAATAAATAAACATTAGAAAGAATTATAAAAATGTTTATTATGCTGAGCCTGATATATACACTGGAAAAGATCAGCTGGAAAACGATTCACTTTCACTTACCTGTATTGTGGCTTTCACGAAAGGTTTATGGCTTATTTTCAAGGATAGAAAACCTGGAAAATTCGTCCAAAAGTTTTATAGCGAGATGAAGACGTTCTACACACTTTTCCCTGATGGCACAGGCTGCATATTCTATCCTTCCGGAAATCTAGCTATTGTTATGTCTCTGGATAGAGACAGGCAATATAGGTAAAGTCAGTAACTACTGTGAGTAAGCGGGTATTGTAAAATATGTTATTATACAGCACTGCTAGTAAGAAGAGAATACATAACAGTTTAAGTGCATTGCATAAATTACTATGTTATACATTATAACTCATAACTACATTGTGTTCCTCATAGGTACGTTATTCAAGAAGATGAGCCAATGGATCCTCGCATCCTTGCTGTCTTTGGTACAGACGGTTCTGGTGTATGTTACAATGAAAGAGGATCGATAAGGTAAAAATTTGATGTGTGCATGTAGTATACATGTTACAGAAAGGCATGGTACACAGCAAATTCATAGCAATTAAGCGTTTCCAGATTTATGCTATTCCATGTAGTGGGAATTCGTGTATCTTGTGGCATAAATCTGTCGAAATTCAAAAATTTTCAAAAATTTCAGTTCGAATTTTTCCTCTGTTTTTGAATAACCGTTATATCTTGGTTACTTTTTTCAGACTCTGCCTAGATCAACTTGGCGGGAGCGAGCTTGATTGGCACGGAAATCAACGCAAGCGATGGTTCTGGCGAGGAATGACTTGGCACTGTCATGCACCTCCATTCCAACCCATCACCCTCTCTCTCAACAGAGCCATCTCAGTGCGAGTCATGAGCCAGGAGAACATAACCGTTGTCTTCTCTATCGGGACACATACTTATCGATTGAGCGTCGGTGCATGCTTGCGCCAAATAAACACACTTCCATCACTTTCAGCCCAGGACTGCAACATGGCGCTTGCGCAGATGCAACGCTGCCGGACATCCAAACTGTTGCAGGCCTTTGCAGATGAAGTAAAGAGCCTTCAGTTTTTAAATGCTATAAATGAGAGGCTGATTTTGCCAAAGCTAAGAGAACAGAGGGTAGTGAGAACTAGTCGGCCAGTGTCCAGGTCCGTGGTGGATCTCACTGCTGCCTCTAAGCCAAGAACAGCTGCAGCAAAAGGTGGCCGATATCTCAGAATGATAAAGCAGGGGCCTCGCAGAGAGGAGTCAGAGGAATCGAACCCATTAGCTGCAAACCATTTATCTGCAGTTGTATTGAATTGATTCCGAGTAGAAATTTGTTGAGCCACTGTCATCTTGCAGGTCATATCAGTGCATCTGTAATCATGTTAGCACCGAATGAAGTGAACGAATGAAAAACGCTTTTTAGCTTTATATAGATGGAATTTCTATCAATGTAATTCTATCTGCATGCACCCAATACACTGAGGTATATATATATATATATATATATCGTATACTGATAATTGTTTAATGCATCTGCAAATTGATTTTCATATTGCAAACAAGTTAATCATGCTGCAATGTTGGATGAATGTCATTAGTACCTAAAAACAATTTGGGTGTATATATAATCACTAAGGCATTTTTCAGATTTTTATGTTAATTTTTTTAGAATTTTATTAAGCAAAATCATGTTACAATTTTTATGTACAACAAATACCTTTGAAGATTATGTTAATAATTCAAGAATTCTTAGAGCATTAGGTTTAAGAATATAGCCAAATGTTACAGCAAATATTTGGTCAAACCCAAATTGGGAAACAATATATTTATTTCGTTTATACATTTAAAAATCAAACCGGTTTACTTTTTTTAGTAACAAATCTGCATTGTTGACATGGTTAAGTTGACAAGCATGCAAAATCTTGGGATTTCTGTTTCCGCAATTCGACGAGCATATTTACTTTGATGTAATATCTCTAATTTCAAGGCATTATACTTACATATGTCAAACAAATGATGACACGAATATCTTAAAGCATACATTTCCCTATTCTACCATTGTGACTGACATGACTGATCAGCAACTGTTTCTAAAGAAGTGTTTCATGATTAAGATTTTAATAAATTGAGTGAATAGAAATGGCACCAACAAAATACACGAATTCCATTAAATGCGTACAATTAACTCCATGACTAAAGTACTAATACGAACAAATGTACATCTCATCGCGTACGCTCCTTACAAAGCGCGACAGGTGGCGACACCACGATTATCAACCCTAGCGTATACCATTTGCAACGAATATAAAGGTTCTCCCACGAACGAAGTGCTTTAGTGTTCATCATTGCTCTCGTCCATTGTAGGTGTGTAGGCGGTCGGGGAGGTGGGGGAGTAGGTGGGGCTTGTTGGGGAGTAAGAGGGCGAACCTTGTGGGCTCGGAGGACTGTAGGTGGGACTCGTCGGTGAGTAGGTAGGACTTGCGGGCGAGTACGTCGGACTCGTAGGGCTGTAACTAGGAGAACTAGGACTGTATTGTGGAGAGCTTGGGCTATACTGTGGAGATGAAGGGCTGTACTGTGGCGAGGTGGGCGTGTAGGAGGGACTCGCCGGGCTGTACTTGGGACTTGACGGAGAGTACTTAGGACTGGATGGGGAATACGAAGGTGACGCTGGGCTATAAGATGGGCTGGTGGGACTATACTTTGGAGATGTCGGGGTGTACTGGGGAGAACTGGGTGAATAACTCGGACTGCTTGGGGAGTAGCTGGGCGAAGTTGGACTGTAACTTGGGGACGTGGGACTGTACTTGGGGCTGCTCGGGGAGTAGCTAGGACTGGTAGGGCTGTAACTGGGGCTCGTCGGGCTATAGCTGGGGCTTGTAGGGCTATAGCTTGGTGATGTAGGGCTATAACTTGGTGACGTGGGGCTATAACTGGGCGAAGTAGGGCTATAGCTGGGCGACGTCGGACTGTAGCTCGGACTTGTTGGGCTGTAGCTAGGCGAGGTCGGACTGTAGGAAGGACTCGTGGGGGAGTACGACGGACTAGTTGGGCTGTACTTCGGCGAAGTCGGCGAATAACTTGGGCTCGTAGGCGAGTAACTGGGCGACGTCGGGCTGTAACTGGGCGACGTCGGGCTGTAACTCGGCGACGTCGGACTGTAACTGGGACTGGTCGGGCTGTAGCTAGGACTGGTCGGACTGTAGCTGGGGCTGGTCGGCGAATAGCTGGGACTCGTCGGCGAGTAGCTCTTCTGCGCGGGCGAATAACTCGGGCTGGTCGGGCTGTAGGAGGAGCTGGACGGTGAGTAGCCGGGCGATGTCGGACTGTAGGAAGGCGACGTCGGCGAGTAGCTGGGACTGCGCGGCGTCAGCGAGCCAGGAGAGCTCGGCACGTACGCGGGCGACGCCGGGCTGTAGCTGGGAGACAGCGGCCCGGCCGGCGACGGGATGTAGGGGCTCGCGGGCGACCCGGGCCCCGGTGAGCCGGGCTGCGGCGACCACGCGGGCGAGTAGCCGGGCGAGAAACCGCTTGCGTCGCTCGCGGTCGACGGCGAGAAGCCTGCGCCGCCCGGCGTCATGCCGCTGCCGACGCCCGGCGACCACATGTCCGTGTACGCCGGTGTCGCACCCTGACCCCACGGCGTCATCTGAGGCGACATGCCACTCTGCGGGGTTGACGCAGTGCCAAAGAACATCCCACCTGTAAGAGTGAGAACAAGATGACAATGTGAAGAGCATTATAGAATTATACCAACAGATTTGAAATAAAATGCAACGTAATACAAAAACTACAAAAATTAAACATACAAATACAAAAGGGTAATGCCAGGTATACGTGGAGATAATTGCCACTATGTAGGAATTACATAACTATATACAACTTTGTACAATATATTATAAATACGGTGGCACTCGTAACGGATTAATGAACATACCACTGGGACCCATCATGCCTCCAGCCATGTTGGTCGGCAACTCAATACCATGCTTGCACTTCTCAGCATCCAACAGCAGGTCAAACGAACCAGTACCGAGCCGTGCTAACTGTCCCAACATGATGTTCTCGGACACTCCTTTCATCCAGTCGACCTCTGCAGAGGCTGCAGCATCCATGAGGATGTCAACCTGAACAAAAAATCGAAAACAATGTAAATATTACACTGAATGATGGAATTACCCAGCACACGATGCATGAACTTCCTGCAAAGTCCTGCCTACCAATAACATGCTAGTAAGACGGGCTGATTTCGAGTTATGTTTAGATATATACGTACCGTTTCCTCAAATGAGCATCGCATGAGGGGACCAGTGTCTTGTCTGTTGATGCCATGACGAGTGATGGCCATAAGATGCCCCTTCTGAGTCATGATGTCACAAAGCAGAGCAAGGTGACGGTAGTTGACGTAGGAGCCATCAAACGAGATGACATAATTCATCTCTCTCTCGATTGCCTTACGTACAGCTTCAATTCCCAGAACCTAATGACAAAAAGCGCACAATAAGAACACCAGTTCTGGAGCAATATCTAATTCAGGACAAGTTCATTTATTTTTGTATAGGACTGTATACGGTATAGGACTTTGTCCATGTATGCTGCTAATGTTCACTTGGACTGTTGGACATACATAGCTAAGGTACTACGCATCTAAATAACTATTGGTTTTAAAGTGTGTATGAAAGGTCATGCCTAGCTGCAACACACACAGAGTAAAGATGCCCCAGCTGCACATCAACAACTATCGGTTTTATGATTTTATGAGAGTGTATGGGTAAAGTGGTACACGGCTGCAGCACACTTACAGCAAAGATCGCACAGACTCACATCAACCCCATCGGTTTTACGAGTGTGTATATAAAGTCGTACATGGCGGCTGCAGCACACTTACAGCAAAGATCTCACAGATGTCGTTGGATGTTGTTCTGATGGGGTCGACATCTCTCTCACTGAGCACCTTCATCAGACTCGTACCGTCTGTCTCGAGCAGCCACTCTGAGATGGCCTTGAACTCTCCATCCTCCGTGATGACGATGCGCTTCTTGATATCGGTGCTCGGCAGATGCATGTATACCTGTGCACAAAACATGCACACTTCACCACAGAGTTGTCAGCATGTTCGTCGCAGACCTCCAAGTGACATGGTGTCGTGTGATGCCACTTCATAGACTTGATGAAAGTACTTATGTAGGTATTGCAATACCCCCACTGTGGCATCTTGTACAATTATTTAGCCAGAGGCTTACAACTACTCAGAATTTACTAGGTAGAGAAACAGGTGACAACTTCTTTAGATAAATATCAGGACAACCATTCACTGTGAGATACTAAGTTTGAGTGGCAACCGTAGAAAAATATTGGTGTTACCTTTCCAATGGATTCAATACCCTGGAGAGTCATATCACTTAGCATGTTTGCTTCAATACAGCGCAAGAACATGTCATCGTCCATTTTGTCCACAACCTCCTCATCCTATAAGTAAAAAACAACATTGAATTCTTCAAGCGATCAGGTTCCAGTAAAAAACACATAAGGCTTGACACAATACAAGAGACAGAAGGAAATAGTCTCCTTTACTCAAACATATATCAGTGCACAAGCCGTCACAGCTGCTTTATAGCACACATTATTCTACTCACGTCTTGGAACTTATTCTCGTCATTGTTCATGATGCGTATACGTAGAACCAACTTCTCAGCGTTATCATCGTTAAAAATGCAGTTGAGGTCATCGCCAAAGGCAGCATTGATCTTCTCGGAGATCTGTTCCATAGTCAGCTTCTTGTCTGTCATACGCTGCAAGGTGGCAAGGAAGAAAAATAAAAGTGTAAAGATACAATGAATGAAGTGATATATCAGAGTCAGACAATAGCCGCTATTACTATCACACTTTACTACAATGACAGAAAGCACTGATGACTCGGATGAATTCTTATGTATGAATACCACAAACAGGTACAATTAGCAAACTTCTCTACACCTACCATTTCACACAGCACATGCTGTTGCTGTTTACCTTTCTGTCCAGCTCTACGCGCAGCAACCAGGGCGAGATGCGTGTCGGGTCAAAGTCAGGCATCTCGTAGTAGATGTTGACAAACTCCTGGTCCTCGGCGATCACGGTGTTTTGTGGATCGGGGTCGTAGTAGATGGCAGTGTTTGCTGTCACCTTGCGAAGTGTTGTGTGCTCCAGACGACACAGCACATCCTTGATGAAATGACAGCGGGCAACATTCAAATGATTGAATTTTTTCGAATGTCAACTATCACCTTGTAATGTTTCTTATAATGTTTCAAAAATCTCGTGGTCTTACCCAAATTAAACCAGGCAGGAAAATTAACTAAAGTGCTCACCAAAACTATCACAAGATTTTCGTCACTCACCACACTGATTGTAGACGATATTAACAAGCATGCTAGATAAATCACGGAGTTGCCAACGCGATTACAATAAATACTCGCCAGTGGAGCAAACGCGTAAAATTTTAAAATATTGCCAATTGCTGTGATAGTAGCCTACAAACTCTGTTAAAACAGCATAACAGTTCACTACAAGGCACGTCACATTACAACCACTTATGTGGTGGCTGTTCTGTGATTCAGTGTTATTAGATAAGCGCAACACACTTACCTTGGCTTTCTCTGCATCACGTGCCGCCTGTCCTGTCAGGAACACTGTCAGCGAGGGCGTCTTTGGTTTCTTGGAAACGTTAATGATCTCCTTGAGACGTGGGACACCAAGGGTGACGTTCTTAGCTGACACACCAGCATAATGGAAAGTGTTTAGCGTCATCTGTGTAGCAGGTTCTCCCAAACTCTGTGCTGCAAGTGGTCCTACCATTTCACCTGGTTGTGCCTGCAAGAGAGCCATGATCGTCAAAGAACTGTAATCGTAGACTATAATTATCCTAGAAAAGCTGCATGCTAAAGTCAGCTGAGATATGTATGTCGTTGTAGCAAGGTTTGTACAACTAAGAAAAACCATTCTCCAAAACTTTTATAGATAAGGTCCATTTTCATGACCGCCCAAGATTCAAGTCAAATACAGTGGTTGTGCCTCCTATTTTAATAACAAAATTGAAAATGCAGCATGCCTTGTGAATTTAAGTATCCAGATCCTGAATCCTATTGCAGTAGTCTGCATAGAATTTATTTTGTCATAAGGTAGTAATACTAGTATGATTATGCATGACACGAAGTATTTGCTAGTCTAGTACTGGAGAAATTAGCGTGTAGATGCGCATATTGTGGCTTTAACAAATTATTTGCAAAGAAACAATTGCCTGGCATGTCCAAATGTCAAACACAATGTGTGTGGCACCAACCACAATGATAAGAAAACTAATCTAGCCATATACTGATAATCCACCAGGAAACACACGTTTATTCCCAGTTTCTTTCACATCGTACCTGACAATCAAAATTGATTCATGCGGCACAAGGTATCAGAAATTAACATCTCAACCTCAATTGACACATTTGCAGCACTCGTGAAAAAACTTCTCCAGTAAATTACCACATCTTCAGTATATTAAACACATCATCATTAGTAAAAGGTGGAAACAAACGAGGGTGGTACTAACCTGTGCATGCTGGAAGCGAGATTCGACCTCACCCAACAGCCACTCGAATGACTCAGTCGTCAACTTGTACTCCTCTGCAACACGCTTGGTGCAGAGCGTAGAACGCAGCATGGCATTTATATTTAGGGTGGCATTCTCCTGCGCTTGCTTACTCAGCCGATCCTCACCCTCCACGATAATGAGCTTCTTACTCAGATCTCTTACCCCTTTCGAACAGAATACCAATCCACTATATGAATTTACTGACTCAACACAGTGAATAAACATTCTCAGCCAATGACAAAAACTAAACTATACAATCTAGCAAGCTACTAAGAAAGTGAACGAAAGTCGCAATTATTAGATTAGCGAGATTCAGAGCATAGTGCAGGTAAAACAACATCTAAAGCATTACCCTCAATAACTCTGAGTGGATGCAGATCGCTCGGCGACCGCGTGTTAATGTGGAAAATCTTCTGAGCATTCCAGATCATTCTTTGCAAATTGCACGGCAACACAACCTGCAAACACCACGGTCCAGTTCTAGAACGTTTATCTTCTTGCGTTCTAATCACATACGGTGTATGCGTGTGGAATGACACTGTATTTGCAACACTACACACTACGGGAACTGTATATCTGTTATAGTTTTTATCAGTTTAGATAATGGAGAAAACTTTGTTAATGTATTGATATATATTGATATATATTGATGTTACCCTGCTATCTCCACTTGGAAACACGGTGCGTATTACGTCTCTGTCTTTGGCTAGCTGGTCCCACTCTGTCTCGATCTCTGCCTGAGCTTGAGCTGACCCAAGCAGTTCTTTAACAATATCCTCATTTAGAATCCTCTTCAGCTTCCTACGAGAACATAAGCAAACAAGTAAAGCTCGGCGAGACTCAATAATGTAACTACTAGAACAATGCGAACACGGGTTTGCTTGGTACACGTTACCTCTCATTAGATATGTCGAATTTGAACTTCTTTTCGAATGCTTTGTTCGAGGGTTTCAAGGAAGCCAGCATCTGGAACTCCACAGCTGTGCCGTCAAGCCCATCCTCGCCGTATCGCAGCTGCACCAACTGATCCATGCTGTTACGTACTGTTCCATCGTACCGCACCATAACTGACTCCATGGCCTTGATCAGACGCCGCTGAATGTAACCTGAACGACATTCAAAATGTTTTCAACGATGACATCTATAACGAGGCACGTTCACACACAACTCGCATTACGGAAACCTCTATATATGCTATGCCGAGACGACAGTCATGAAAGATATGCTGGCACAAATATAAGCCTACCAGTTTCTGCAGTCTTGACAGCAGTGTCAATGAGACCTTCACGACCACCCATGGCGTGGAAGAAAAACTCTGATGGCGTAAGACCAGCCAGGTAGGAGTTCTCCACAAAGCCTCTACTCTCAGGGCCGTAATCATCTTTGATGAAGTGGGGTAGAGTTCTATGCCGGAAACCAAATGGGATTCGCTTTCCCTCCACGTTTTGCTGTCCTACACAAGCAATAACCTAAAAAAAGCACAACATTCAGATATTGTAACCACACCTAGTAGTTCAAAAACAAACCGCAGTGTCGGTGCTGGGCTACATGCTGTGGCATGCTGTTCGTTTTCTATTTCAGGTCGTTTCGGGCGCACTCTATCAGGTGCATTTAAACATTTCAGTGGCAAGTTAAGGTGATTATATACAAAGGTATATTATGCAAAAACCTTTTAACTCTACCCACCCCTGCTGCTGTGGCCCCTGGGCAGTCCAAATTAAAGACCCAGTGTAGACGTTTAGTGGCATAGGGGACAGGAGATCTGCAGGATCAAAACTGGCAAATCATGGCAATTCACAGACCTACAGAAGATTCACAAGCCCAGTTATAGCCAGCAAGTTGTGCCCGCAACAGTCCGACAACAAAATAAAGTTTCGATAATCTCTCGAAAGTTTCAGCTTCCCAGTTTCAGGATGTGACTCGGGTGTTTAAAACGACTGCTCTACGTGCATACAATTACACAAAAGTACCTGTGAGATGTTGATTTTTGAGCCTTTTGAGCCAGCCACCACCATGGCTTTGAAGTTATTGAAGTCCGACAGAGATTTCTGGGCACTGCTTCCAGTCTTGTCTCGAGCATCATTAAGAATTCTGTTGACCTACACGCAAATCATGCAATTAAATTGGTTATGCTAGCCGCACACTATCCGATTTTGCACTGTGCACAGCACTAAGCCCCCGCACACTATACGACCAACTCCCGATCGATCGGGAGGCCACCGCACACTGCCCGACTCAAAGTTGATGCAAACCATGGCACTCTCGTGGCGTTCCCAGCGGATTTAGCGTGTACTAAGGGTCGGGAGTGTTTCCCATGGTTCGAATGCCATTCCATTCGAATGCGGTTCCCATGGCACTGCTCTGTGATTGGTCAATTTTCTTCAGGGCACGCCGATCGGGTCGGATGGCCACGCACACTATCCGAGTCGCGTCGTAAGGCCCCGCACACTATCCGACCCGATCTGCTCCCGATTCAAAATTCGAATCGGGCCAAAATGACCTCCAGAGCCAATCTTAAGCCTCCCGAGCCAAACTAGAACATCTCAATCCAATCGTAAGCCTTCAAATCACGCTCGGGTCGGATAGTGTGCGGCTAGCATTAGTGTATATGAAGAAGGATATGAGGAATCAGTAGAAAAGCAGGAGGAGATAAAGAACATATGTGAGGGACTGATATAAAGATAAGTATAACAGTCTAGTATAAAATTGTGCACACGTGTTAACTTAGCAGCATACCATGTTTTCAAACGTTTTACGGAGTGTATTGCCAGGAGTTGGTTCCAACTCGTCATTGTGGGCTTTCTCGATAACGTCTATCACCTCTTGCTGAAATAGGTTACATTGATAATCAACACAAGCACTATTACTTTTCTATAAATCGAATATTTTAATAATGTCGGTTTCAACATAATAATTCTGAATTTGCTCATCTTGTTTCACATGCTGAATTAGCAAACGTATTGCCCATATAAATTTAATTCCTTGTCTGTTTTCAAAACAATTTATTTCATAAGCACTCGATTCCTAAATTGTAAAAATCTCTGTACTATAAGGGGGAAGGGTATATAAGAACCCATAATGGATTTTACTATTCATACAAGTACGTGTACTATATAATACGTAATTAGGTTGTCATTATTTATCATGATAGCAAGCAGGGCTGACATAGCATAATACAGCACACCCGCATGCTCAAGACCATGTACATGCACACCTTGGCCTTCTTGATGGTGTCCTGGATTTCCTTATATGTCTGCGGATCAGCAATGCAATCGCCGATGCCAATAGAGTGGCCCTCCAGCAACAGCCAGTTGTTCACCACAGTCTGAATATTGCCATACAGATCTGCTGCCAGCTTGTGGCCAAGCTCGAGTGCAACTACGTGTAGCAAGGAGCCGGCCGATGGACCGACAGTTTTCTTACAGATGATTCCTGTGATGAGCTCTCCACCCTCAATAAGCACCTACAAACATCAACAGCATACAGTAATACAACACATATACACTCAAGCAGCAGGCTGTATAACTCCACACACCAACGCTAGACACCAGGGTAAATAATACACGGGAGCGACAAGCGATTCGCTCTACAAACCTCCGAAATCACTCCCGTGAGGCTCAAAATAGCTCACGTACAATTTTTGACAAGAGCTATTTTTTCCACAGACTTTTGAAAAAGAGCTCCCGTAAAAAAGAGTAAATTTTCCCTGCTAGACACAGACAGGTTTCCACACAGCCTCTCTGCAATAATGAACATCTTGTTACTGGCATGAGATCACACAAACACCACCTGCCACAATAAACAGTTACGAGACCCATCAAAAAATTATTGCACCCAATACGTCGACGTGGGTGGCATCACAAACTTACCTTTGTATCTCCAGGTGAGAGCCACTTGTAGGGGCCGGTGTCCTCCTCATCGGGATGAGTGCTGTGCGTACGGATCAGATTTACGTTACCGGGTATAATCAGGGAGAACACCTGCTTTCCTGTCCACAGAGGCTTCGGCTTCAGGATAGCAGGCTGTGGCACCTTGCCATCCCAGGGCGGAAGCCACATCAACAAGTTCATCATCTCGTGCTGTAATAAGTACCCAATTGTCTTTAACCAGTTAATTAACCAATTAATGCTAATTAAAGATTAAACATGGTAGTGTCCTTAAACGGAAGGCGATTTCTGTCCCTTACATTTCAACCTGTGCCATTAATAACAGTGCTCCAAAAAAGACTAACAGTGCTCCCTTGTATACTATTACACTTCCACTTCTAGGCTTGGAAATTGCCAGCCCTCAATGCTAGCCAGTTACCCAAGTTAAAGGAAAAGTCCTGCTTCCTTCACACCTCTTAACCTTGAAAACCACATATTCGACCTCCAAATTTCGTTTTGGAATGGCCCCAGGCCCGAACGACCAGAATATCAACGCCGTATGTCAAGCCATTTATATTCGCACGCACATTGTTAACGAATGAATGGATGGGAAGAGCGACAGACAAATGCTCTTGAAATTCTGCAAGCTGCATCTTACTGTGTGAAATGAGGTAACTAGGGTTTATTCTGCAATTACCCGTTTTAAAATGATAAAAAAAGAATTTTGTCACTCCTCCCATCGCAAACCTGCCAACAAATGGAAATTACGTCAGCACACCTTTTCGAGAAACACATCCCTCTTGGTCATTTTGCGCACAGCACACAGCGAGTCCTGCACGATGCCCATGACGGGCCGGTTCGACTGAGGCGTGATGATGTTACGCGGCACCATCATGATCTCGGTAACTTCTGCGCGAGTCTCCATGGACTGTGGCACATGCAAGTTCATCTCATCTCCATCGAAGTCAGCATTGTAGGGTGTTGTTACGCTGCATGTCAACAAATTACGTTAACGATGTGATAAACAAAACAACATGTGCAAGCAAAGTGTGATCCTTGACCATGTTGACCATCAAAAATAGAGAGACCCAACAAAGAAAGATCTTCGAGGATCTTCTTAGAACTCTGAGATCAGATTATTAACGTGAATTACTACACACGTAAAGCAGCAAATATGATGTAAGCGCACTACCTGAGGTTCAGACGGAAGGTGGACCATGGAAGTATTTTTACTCTGTGACCCATCATAGACATTTTATGCAACGTTGGCTGTCTGTTGAAGACGATCACGTCATCATCGCGGATATGGCGTTCAACCTATAAAGACAGAAGACATAAACACCAGGGACGTTTACACAATCAACGCATTAGCCAGCGAGCCGTGCAGCCGTGATTTGCACGGTCAGTCTTGAAACTGGACAACCAAAAATGTGTAGCACGGCCTAAAATAATGATCTAAAGCTTGGCTGAGACAGACATACAAAAAAATTGCACTCCCAAATATTTTTCCTGCACTCCCACAATACTCATTCCTGGCTAATACCCTGTACACAATCATGGCAATATTGCCTTCAAAAATTAATATGACAGCAAAACAACAAACTAAATGAACTCGTTGATAGGTTTCATGTTCGCCTATAGCTAAATGATGTTCAACCTTACACATATTGTCTGTTATCATATTTCAGAACCTTGTATCCACACTGCAAATGTAGATCACTGGGTTTCGGGTGAAAGCGTAGATCTATCCTGTCACCATTGTCTCTGATGATGTACTTTGCACCGGGATACTGGTTGGCCCCTCTCTGTACGAGTGCCTGCATTCTGAATATATTGGAAGATGTATCAGTGCTGCAGAGATGAGAATGACCAAGAAAAATAACCCTGAAACCGTAACTGAACAAAGATTTGCGACAACCAATTTTCACAGATAAGCACAATTGACTATTGCTCAGAGAAATCGAAATCACTAGCAACACAGTTCTAGCAAGCTTACCTGTCAATGTTAAAAGGCGTTACGATCTCGGGGAACGTCAGGTTAGAGGCAATCGTGCGAGGAACCCCAACCTGGTCTATGGCCAAGTTTGGATCGGGAGTGATGACAGCTCTCGCACTAAAGTCCACACGTTTCCCCATGAGGTTGCCACGGATACGGCCTTCCTTTCCCTTCAGACGAGCTTTGATGGACTTCAGCGGTCGGCCGGACTTTTGCAGCGCCTGAATAATCACAACAGTAAAGTAATAAGAAATCACAACTCATGTTAGTTTAATGGTTGACGAATTTATGTAATAGCTACCTGCTATGAATTTTCTGTCTCTGCTGTGTGCTCACCCTTTGTAATCCAGGCATGTCATTATCGATCATGGTTGCGACGTGGAACTGTAGCATCTTGACGTCCTCCGCAATGATGTGTGCAGCGGCGCCATTCTGCTCATCACGTAGTAGCTGGTTATTAGCCTTAACGATATCACTCAGTTTGTGTGTGATATCATCCTAGTGGGAAGCACAAAAATCGAATTCAGCACTACATACATTTTCACTTAATCAGAGATTCATGCATAAATGTGAAAAGTTCCTAAATCATTGCCAACTTAGCCCAAATCTTACCAGACACTCAAGTTGTTATATATATAATAGTACACCAAGTTTTTTATTCTTCAAACAAAAAGAAATATCTATTATTTACTCCAATGAAAATAACCATATCAATGGGTAATTTATAAAGCAACACTATCTGGTCAAAGACCCAATACCACATTCACACTGAAAGTGGAGTCAGGAAGGTAGATGACAAAAAACAAGTAGGGAAAGAAGCAGGGGAGGGGTGTAAAGCCAATGGAAAAAAGTGTAAAAAAAAACAGAAATGACAAGAGGGAGGATTGGCAGGCAGAGAAGATTAATAAGGGGGGTTAGGAGGCTAAGAGGGGTAGAGTAACATGCACCCACCTGATTTCGGGCAGACCCAAACATGACGACCGCAGGGCGGACACACAGTGGTGGCACGGGTATTACTGTCACAATCATCCAGTCGGGCCGTGTGTACTTAGGGTCCATGCCCAGCACCATGCTGTGATCGTCGGGAATGTTCTTAAAGATTTCGTGCACATGCTCGGCCGTGAGAACGATCTTGCGTTCCTGTGAGTCCTCGTTGATGTGTTTCCACTCTGCAACCATGTCCAGCGCTGATCGGCGGATCTTAGGTTGGTATCGGCCACATCCACCATGACCCTGCATGTAGTCAGGATCACAGAATGATTAGGAATGCTCTTCAAGGTCACTGTGACGGTCAGAATCACAAACAAACTTACTGCCCGACCACCAAAATCTGCATGAATCATTGCGAAGTAAGGAATATAAAGCTGGCCACAGCTGGACCTTTCATATAAGCTGATTAATTTTTAGATGCATTAAAGGTTTTTATAGTCAGATAAGTGTGTTACAACTTACAATCCTAAATTAGCTACTATATATTCGCCCAGACTTGCTTTTTGTTTAGCTGATAAAGACTAGACAAAACAATTACGAGAGAGCCCTGGTTAAATCTGAATTGTTTTCTTGCAATTTCTTGTACCAGGACTCCCCTGTATTAATAGTATTACTTTCCCCCGTCTCCATTGTTTTCTCATACAGCATAAATTGGCAGAAAGGAAACTATCTGGACTATATCTGCTTACCACATACTTGAATAAAATATAATTACTTTCAATTTTGGCTCCTCGTCATCTTCCTTGTTCATCTCTACTCCAAACTTAGATTTGTCCATTTCATCTCCACCTATTAGTAGAACATAAATAAAAGTACAAGCACTGTATCCTATTTAAATTAAATTTTTCATAGAAATGTCAGAAAGGAGATAGGCCTGTAATGTAGGGTGTTACTCAAATTTCATGCAGTTCCAGCTAACACAGAATACACAATATACATTCCTGGTACTTTTGGTCTTTTTAGCCATTTTGCTTTGAGCATTCATGCAAACTAATCTATTATTATGGGCAGTGTTCTCATTTAGAAACCAGCCACCAGTCGAATTGACCGTCTACTCTGCTGTTTCGGCCAGTTACAATTGGCTCAAGTATGATATAAAAAAGAAAAGAAAAAAAAGTTTAAAAAAAGCGTTTTATGAGCTACTACTAATAAATCAGTTGAGTATCTTTGTATGCATGTTATGTGCACAAGAAGCATTGTTTTTGTTTTTGAGTAACGCTATTTACGTACTTGTCTAACTCTTATAATTACTAAATCGTCATAATTTGGAAACTTTTGGTGAACTCTGAATGTACCAGGAGAAACCAAATTGGAAAAAAGGACCATACTGTAATCCAAATGTGTCTGTTCACTGCAGCTCAGAATACACCAGATTGCATCTCAGAGCATCTAGGTTAAAAAAAAAAATTTGGGTAAAATTGGGAACCCCCCCCCCCACACCGCCACGGCCTGTTGCAAAAGCATTTGGGCCTG